GAAGTGAAACACAGCTGAAGCCTAGATGTCCTCTGCAAGGTTAATACTCAAGGGAATGGTCATGCAAGGGCGGGTAGTTCTGCCCTTGCTAGGCATCCGGGGCTCTCCGCCCAGGTGACCCTCTGCACCTGGCCTATGGTTCCCACTCTGCTCTCGCCTATCTATCTGCCTACTACAGGATGATGGTGACCTCTGACAAGTCATTTGTTCCAGGGCCCAAGGAGATAAGGGTGTCCCATATCCAGAAGAAGGTAAGGAGCTTCCTCCAATCACAGGCTGCTGGCACAGAGAAGATCAGAGTCCCAGGATGACCAGACTCCAGAGGTGCTGAGACTTGAACGTCAGATGTTTGGGTGAGGGCTGGGAAGGATACAGAAAGAAACACAAGACACGGAGAGGGGATTCCAGGGTATGGGGCACCAGATACCTCCCCTCTGAGCCTCAGTGTCTGGGCCCACGTAGCCTCACTCTGATCCCTACCTCTACACTGCAAGTAGAGGCCCAGTTCTACCTGGCACATTCAGAAACGGTGTCTGATATTTAAATCTAAACTTCAAAACAGGTCCCATTGAGGCAGGAAAGTTAGAATAGAGAACAAAGGCCTCTACCCTTCCCCCTTTCCGGAACCTCACAGATGTCTTTCACTGGCCACCTGTTCCACCACTTCCTCCTCCCCATTTTCCCATAATTGAGAAGACACAAAAAAGAAAGAAAGAAAGAAAGAAAGAAAGAAAGAAAGAAAGAAAGAAAGAAAGAAAGAAAGAGAAAAGATAAGAGAGAGAGAAAAATAAATTGCTATCTGAAAAGAAGGGGCAAAGAGTCACCCCACCAGTGTCAGAAGCCAAGCACTACCCTATTTGCCCCCCTTGCCCACACTTAATAAAAACCTTTCAGCCAGACACCACTATGGCATCCTGTTCTCTGAAGTCACACTCTCTCAATTCTTGAGTGCATACTATCACTTTAACAAATGTACTGTGCTTTGCTAAATCCTTCTGTCACACTCTCGAATCCTTTCTTGGGCCACGACAAGAACCTAGACCCTGGTGTTGGGTTGAGGCCTCTCTTGGCCTCCCCGGGTGCCACCCAGCATCACCCTCTCCAATCAGAATAAGTACACCCCACCATCTTTCCTCCTGGTGTTTCTGATGTTCAGGGGGCAGCTGTTGGGCTGGGGGCCCCTGAGGATATGGAAGCAGCTCAGGGTCCTCTCTTTCAGCTTCTGACCTGGTTTGTTTCAGAATCCTGGTGTATGTTTAGCCCCTTTCAGGAAGACGGAATGTGGGTCCAAATGATTCTATCGTCTGAGGGTAGGAGAAGGTACAGGGCCCTTCTGCATGATGACTGACGCTGACATCTACAGGCTCCTCCAGGGACACTGTGGAAAGCTTCACATTTCTCTGTGACATTTAGTTCCAGATGCTCCCCACCCCGCTCTGTACCAGTCCACTCACCTTCTCATTGCAAGGACAGCAGTAGTAGCAGGGGTCACATCTCTGAGACTGGAAGGCCTATTCAGAACGCCTTAACACAGTCTGATTAACCCTTCCTGGCAGACATCTGGCATCTATTTCTGGGTTTTGCCTCAAACAATTCTCTCCAACAGGAACACCCAAAACCACCGCAGGGGAAGTGAAGGTTAAGCCTAATTCACCCCAGGGACACTTCAAAAGGTATCTCTGTTCCTTTCACTTCCCCATACAGACCCCACCTCCTGGAGACCCTTCTCCACCTTCCCTCAAGAGAGCAAGTAATTCAGGTAATTTTCCCACCATACAGGGGACTCACCTGGGACTAAATCCTCCCATTCCATGCTCCTCCTCAGTCCAGGTGCGGGCATATAGGAAGCCTTATTATGCACTGGCCAAAGCTACTAAACTCCTCTTGTTATAGGCCCAAGGTTCACATGCTCAATGCTTCAAAACAAAGGCCAATGTTCAATAGACCAGAGTTTGGAGTATCAACATAAGAAATGTTGAAACATGTAAAAATGTTTATGAGTTTATTTGAGCCAAACTGATGACAATTGCCTGGAAGAATAATCAGAGCAGATTGAGAAAATGCTCCAGAGAATGGCAGTTTTCCAGTTTATTTTATTGTTTATCTTTTTAACTTTTTTTTTTAGAGAGAGAGAGAAACATCAATGTGAGAGAAAACACCAATTGGTTGCCTCCTGCATGCACCCCAACCAGGGATTGAACCCATGATTTTTTGGTGTATGGGACAATGCTCCAACCAACAAACCAACAGAACCACACTGGCCAAGACTTGCAGTTTAATTTATATGTTACAATCAAAGGAGGTGGCATAAGGAGAAATAAATTTCTATAAAATCTATGAAATTCATAGATTAGGTAGGCAGGAGCAAGCAAAGTGGGGAGGGGGTACTCTCTGAGATTGAATGAAGAATAAAATGAAGAGACAAATACTTTACATTGGTGGGTACAGGATAGTTAACAATTAACATTTACTGCGGTGAGAGTAATTGGGCAACAAGATAACAATGAGAGGTTCGTGGTCTCCTGCTCTGATGGGAGATTGTGCTTTGAGAGGTCTGGGAAAAGGGGGAATTACTCTGAAACTCCAAAGGTAGTTATCTTAGATGCAAAAGGATAATAGACAAACTTACTTAAAGATTAACCTTTGTCAAGGAAGATATCAGCCTAGAACATGATGCTCGCTATGACTAGCTTTTAGTTAAGAAGTTTTCATTTCAGAGCATCCTATGTTACTTTAGGTCTCTGAGTTCATAAAGCCCACACCTCCCCTGAGCTTGTCAAGTTTTGTATGTGGCCACTGTTTCATCCACAGGTTGAGGAGGAGCCTGCCTCACATACCCTCCCTCCTTGGGTTTCCCCACAAGCTCTTCATTTGTAGTGTGGTTTTTCTCTCCCAGAGAGGCCCAAGATAGCTTTGCCATCTGCTGCTCTCACTACCCCAAACCCCTCCTCTGTCCCTTCCCCTCAGACTTCTTTCTCAAGTTTTAGAGTGGCGTGGGCTCTTGCAGTAGGTCCTGAAGATTTAGCCTTTTCACACATCATTCACCTCCTCACCCCATCCCAGACCCCACCTACTGAGACCATGTCATCTCCCTTCCTTATCCTGCCTCCCTTGACCCAGTAGACTCCTGGCCTGCTAAGCTGCCTCACTGAAAACCATCTGGTTTGTGATTACATGAAGTCACAAGTTCCCTTCTGATTATATGAGTTCCCTGAGCCAGAGAATGTGATAAGACTCAGAAATGGTCAGATGGAAGAGATGCATAGGACAGAGTATGGGGACAGGGTGCAGGACTTCCGTGCTCTTTCCAATCAAGTGTGCCATTCTCCCAAATCTCCACGGTGTTCAGCCAGGAAGCTTGTCCAATCCTGTCCTTTTGGGTTTTTATGGAGGCTTCATTACATAGGCATGACTGATTAAATCGTTGGCCACTGATGACTGATTCAACCTCCAGCTGGTCACCTCTCCTCAGAGCTGGGGGACGTGTGGTGTGGGACAGAAAGTTCCAGCCCTCTAATCACATGGTTGGTTCCCCTAGCAACCCACACTCATACTGAGGTGCTTTCTCAAAGTCACTTCATCAACTTAACAAAAGAGACATTTATAGCTTTCATCACTTAGGAAATTCCAAGGGTTTGGGGAGCTCTACCAGAAACTGGGATGAAGACTAAATATTTTGTATTATATTTCTTATTCTAAATCACCGTATCACAAATATCTACCTCAGTCAGTCTCTCTGTCCAATGATACAAACCCCCTAGAATACAATGTGAATACAATGCAAAGGAATAACAAGGAACGTTGCAAATTTCTCAAAAGATACATAATTTTATGAGATCAACGATGAAAAGTGATGTTTGGAAAATGTGCCAAAACCACGAATTTGGAAAGAGCCAGAAGAGTTAGACCCATTGTTATTATAAAATCAACAAAAATGATGACATGATGATTCAAGAGAACAAACTGAACATCAAAGGATTTACAAATGGTTTGGGGGGGAAATGTTGAAATCCTCAGACACTTTTGCAACCATTGCTCTTACGCAATTTTTTTCTTGACCACATCATAGGAACCTAGCCGATATTTGTTGAATGGATGAACTAAAATAAATCTTCTTATTCTCGTGGAACAGCTCATTCTTATTATGTAACAGCACTGTTTTAAACCTTTTGCACGTGATCATTGGTTTAATTGTTCAATCCTCACAACCTTATGAAGCAAGAAACTGAAGTATAGAGAGGTTCACTAAGTTGCCCAAACCCGAACCTCTGTCTTCAAACGTTGGCAGTCAGCTCTAGAATCTTTGTGCGTCTTTGTTTGCTTTTTTTGCATCGTCTCTACTAGTTTCTTCTCTCACCTGTAGGGCACTGGGTCAGGGCCAATCTCTGTGTTTGGTGCGCGTGATTGACAGCAACCCCCCCACCCCCACCCCCACCCCGCTCAGCTTAGCTGGACCCTGGGGAACCAAGCCCAGAGCCCAGATTCCACTGGAGCTGCCCCCAAACGGAATGGGGTGGCGGGGAGTTCTGCCAAGCTCAACACCCTTTGGGCTCCCCACCGTGCGAAAAGAAGGGACAGGATACCTGGATTCTCAGCGTGGGGCTTATATATCAGCGTGAACCTACAGAGACAAGGTATTTTTCAGCATATACGATGCCCGTGTCTCCTAGAGATAAATATACACGGGTATTTAATAGGTCTCCTGCCAAACGTGGGACGACCTCCAAGACTTGACTCCTGCGAGACGAGAAATGCGAAACCTGGCTGTACGGAATGGAAGTTCTTCGAAAATGGCGGCCTCCAGTGTCCTAATCCTCATGGGCGAGGCCATGTCGTTCGCCTGACCGTCCCTGGGAGACAAGGACCCGCGGGTTAGATGGGCGCCGCCATGATTACTATTGGCCGGATGTGGCTTCAACGTGTCTAATGAGCGTGCGCACTGGGCACCCAAACCGGAAGTGGCCCAGAGAGGCCATTTTGCTTACGTGGTCAACGGCATCGACCCGTCAGTCGCTGGCGTGACGCCGAGGTGACTTGAACATTACTAGTGGGGATTCCGTGAGGTTTGTGAGGTGAAATCAGCTCGGTGTGAGTGATGTGGGCACTGTGGGACGAGTGATGCCCAGTCTGCGGAGTAAGTGATGGGGGCATCTGTGGGGTGAGTGATGGGGGGATCTGTGGGGTCAGTGGGGGTGGGGGGTTCAAATTGAAGTTGAAAGATTAGCTCAAGTTTCACCCTTTGCATATTTTCTGTATGTAATCAGTATTTTTGGTCACTTAAATTCTAAGTGTATGTTAATCATCAGGTTTTATAGTGTTGGCCCATGAAACGTGCTCATTTGAGGAGCGTCTTAAGGGGCCTTAGTAGGTGGTACTGGGGACATTTGGGGAAGTGGTCCGCCGCCCGCGGCACTGAAGGAGGCAGCGATTGACTGGGAGCAGGAGCTTCAGGGATGAGAGGACTTTGAGGGTCGCGTTGTGACACACTCGGGTGGGGGGCAGTGATGGGGCCCTGTGAAGTCTGCAAAGTGGGGTGCTAAAGGTAGTATAGGGGAGCCAGTCAACTGCATTGCTTTCTGGACAGTGAGTGTTGGGGTCCTTCAGGGGTGGACGGTAGGTCAGTGTTGGCTTCTCCTTGTGTAAGGGTTGGTGATGGGCAGTTAAGCATAGGTATTGGGGTGTGTTATTTGGAACCCCATATTGGGGATTATTTGAGGTCCTGTGGAAATCACACTCTCTGGGGACACATTTATTGGCAATCAAGGTAATAATGATTTCTGGAGCCTGGCCATGTCGGTGGCTGGGAGGCATTTGGTGACCTTCTGGCAGCCCTGTGGTTCACTCACTGGGGATCTCTGGAGGTCAGAGATGATGTTTTTGGAAGCTGTCCTTGTAGGGGACTATACTGCATAGTGGCAACTGTGCATCTAGAATGAGGCAGACACGGGACTGATTCCCTTTGCAGACTGAGTGACCTTCAGGCAAATTATGTAACAGCATTCAGTCTTAGTTTCCTTATCCACACAATGGGTATAATAATTATAGAGTTGGGGCAGGCAGAAAAGGGTATAGGGGGATAATTGGTGATGGAAGGAGATTTGACTTGAACACACAATACAATGTACAGATGATGTATTGTAGAATTGTACACCAGGAACCTGTATGATTTTATTAACCAACGTATCACTGTCACTCCAATACATTCAATTAAAAAGTAACAGTGGCCCTGGCCGGTTTGGCTCAGCGGTTAGAGCGTCAGCCTGCGGTCCACAGAGACCCGGGTTCGGTTCCCGCTAAGGGCATGCACCTTGGCTGCAGTTTGTCCCCGGCCCTGGTTGGGTCGTGTGGGTGGCGGCCACTCGATGTGTCCCTTTCACATCGATGTTTCTCTCTCTTCCTCTCTCTCCTTCCCGCTCTGAGTGAAAAATGTCCTCAGGTGAGGATTAAAAAAAAAAAAAGTAACAGTGATTATACCCTTTAGCTGACAGATTTGTGTGAGATTTAAACAAGGTATCTTGATACCTGACTTGCAACTTGGTGGTTTTTTGTTTTATCCTCACCCGAGGACATTTTTCCATTTTCTGTTCAGACAGAGTGGGAGGGAGAGAGAGGAAGAGAGAGAGAGAGAAACATCGATGTGAAAGGGACACATCGAGTGGCCGCTACCCACACAACCCATCCAGGGCCGGGGACAAACTGCAACCGAGGTACATGCCCTTAGCGGGAACCGAACCCGGGTCTCTCCAGACCGCAGGCCGATGCTCTAATCGCTGAGCCAAACCGGCCAGGGCGCAACTTGGTGGTTTTTATTCAGTGTTTACCACATGCCAGGCAGCTGCTGAGGGCTTAATAAGCCTCATGTCATGTAAGTTTCCCCATGCCTATGATAAAAACCTTCCTTCTCATTTTGGAAACTGCAACTAAAGTAACTGCTTCATATTCTTACCACTAAAAGGTGGCAGAGCTGCAATTAAACCTCCATTTAGTCCAAACTCGTGGTCGTTTCTTTATTTTTGACTGACTAATAACTGAAGTTGTAGTTTTCTGAACTTGACTTATTTCACGCACAGTATCTAGCACAGTGATCTTCACCTAAGAGTCCTCAGAAATATCTGTGTGGAGCAAATGTTAGGTGAGTAACCATGTGGTCATTCCCTTTCCAGGGCTTCTTGGTGTCCCTTCAGAGGCCCTGGGTCAGGCCACATCTCCAAAGCTATAGGATCTCCCTTCACAGCTCAGCCCAACTCTCCCCAGCGGCTCTGATTAGAACCTCCAGATGCCCACACAGTTTCCAGCTCCTGGGAAAAGTGGATTTGTCTGCAAGAGAGACCGAGAGTTGAAGTTCAGAGAAGACATGTCTGCTGATGTGAATTTGCCCCAGCAGCCCCAGGTCCTGGGTCCATGGGAGCAGGATGAATCATGTGAGGTAAGCAGGAGCAGCCCCAGGACGGTTGTCTAGAACTTCTGGACAGGCAGAGCAAGCAGCTGATTCTGGACTCCCTGTGCCTGAGCCAGTCTGGATCCTCCTCCTGAGAATGACTACAGGAGGTTGCTGTCACCTCGTATTCACAGGCCTCTGTGTTACAGAGGAAACTGAACTGGCTGACGCTCTCTTCTAACACGGCCTCCTTCATCAGCCAGTTCAGTTTCCTCTGTAACACAGAGGAAACTGAACTGGCTGATGAAGGAGGCAGTGTTAGAAGAGAGCGTCAGCCCTGGGTCAGAGGAAGAGGAAAATTTAGCCCGTGTGGGAAGCCCTAGCCACAAGCAAGGAAATGCTAACTCCTTCCTGCTCAGCATAGGCTAAGATCCTTCATCTGCCACTGGGCCTTTGTGTATTCTTGGTTGGTCCCCACCTGACTCCTACTTACCTGCTTTGCTGGCTTGGCTTGTTTATAGAGTCATAGGATCCTAGAGCAAGAACTGCCTATTAAGGGCCATATGGTTTTTCCCATTTTAAAAAATGAACAAGAATGCCAGAGAACAGTGTTGAAGAATGGCCCACATTGCCCTGGCTGGTTTGGCTCAGCAGTAGAGCATCGGCCCGAGGACCAATGAGTCGTAGGTTCGATTCTGGCCAAGGGCACGTACCTCAGTTGCAGTTCATCCCTGGCCCTGGTCAGTCATGCAGGAGGCAATCAGTCGATGTGTCCCTCCCACTCTATCTGAAGATAAATAGAAAAAATATCCTCGGGTGAGGATTAAAAAAAAGAAAGAAAAATGGCCCACAGATATTAATACTTGGGTATATTCAAGATTTCCCAAAAGTCTTAAGTTATCCTGTGTATTTCATGATACTTACGTGTTTTAAGATAATGAGTGGCCATAATAAAAATTAGTGCATCGTTGTCATATGATAGATTTATACTCAAATTACAGAGATGTTCTACTTTAAAAAGGTATAATAAATGCATGGCTTTTTATCATTGAGAGCTAATATATTGTGAGAAGATTATATATTTCATTCTTAACCTGAAAAAAACATTTTATAATAGATGACATTAAAAGAAACAACACTGTGTGAAAAAAAACAACAACAAAAAACATTTTAAAACTTGTCTCTACATGTATCGTTCCCATTCACCAATGCTGACTAATTCACATTGAGCTGGACTGTGTTGTTATAGGGATCTGTGTCATTTGAGGATGTGACCATGGACTTTAGTAGGACAGAGTGGCAGCAACTCAACCCTGCCCAGAGACACCTGTACCTGGATGTGATGCTGGAGATCTATAGCCACCTCTTCTCCGTGGGTGAGCACTCATGCCCTGGGAACCTTGGATGGGCCTCCGTGAGATTTCCTTCCTTGCGGAGTGCAGTGGGGCATCTGTAGTACGTGATTGGTTTGTCCTAAATTGTTCGTTTCTTCTGGGCATCTTTAAGTATTATTTTGTTCTTAGCGAAAGATGTGACTTTTCTGCTGAGCCCATGCAAGTCTTCATGGAACGGCCTCTAAAGTCCAAGACCACATCCAAATCCAGTGTCCTTTCTCATCCACAGGGTATCACCTTCCCAACCCAGAGGTCATTTTTAGGATGGAAGAGGAAAAGGAGCTATGGACAGGAGAGGCTGAACTCCTGCATCAGAGGCATCAAGGTGAGCGACTGTTACCTAGGCAGACATGGGTATCTTTGGGGGGCCATTATTCAACCTACCACACTTACCCACAGTGGTGGACATTTAAGTTGCCTCATAATCCCAGTTTTTATAGCTAATCATCTTGTAAATGTTCGTAAGGGCCGACCTAAGAATTTCTCAGGAGTGAAATTGCCAGATCATTGGAGATAAGTATTTTAATTTGACTAATAAACGTACTGCTCTTCAGATGGGCTGCACAATCTGTACTGCCATGTGCTGTGCACAAGAATTCCCATTGCGTACCTTGCTTGCCAGCACTTAGCATTTACCAAGTTTCTCATCTGTGGCCCATGTGATGGGTAAAGGGCTATTTCATGTCTTAATTTCAGTTTTTTCAAAACTGAATAGTCAGAGGCTCTCACATATCTGTTATCTGATTAGGTTTCTCATGTGTACGTTGCTTTTGTTGTATTGTTTTATCCCTTTGTGTCCATGGAGTTTTTTCAAGGCCTTTTTTTTTTGCCCCCTGAAGTCATTGATTTTTCTTTTCTGTACTGGATCTTCTTTCTTCTTTTTCCTCTAATTGTGATGTCTCCAGCTTGAGGCTCTATACTCCCCTGTGGTCATCCTTTCATATAGGAATTGCCTTAAAGGGTTCTTCTATTCTGATCATTAGGCCTCATATATTTTTCTGATGATCCCTATATCAACTTCTCCAGGCCCCGTGCCTAAATTGTGTTCTGTTGCACTATTTAGTTACATGGTGGACAGTTTCCATGTGATGACTTGCTTTATTTTTTGGAGATCAGAAATTGGAATCATCACCCTGGTTGATTTGGCCAAGCAGTTAGAGCATTGGCCCATGGACCAAAGGGTCACAGGTTTGATTCCCAGTCGAAGACACATACCTGGGTTGCACGTTCGATCCCTATGCAGGAGGCAACTAATCAATGTCTCTCTCATGTCAGTGTTTCTGTCTCTATCTCTTTCTCCCTTCCTCCCTTATTCCCTTTCACTCTATCTAAAAATAAGTAGAAAAATATACTCGGGTGAAGATTAACAAAAAGGAAAAGAAAAGAAAAAAGAAAAGAAACTGAAATCATCACACAAATCTGAAATTCTTCTCACCTTATATATTTTTGTCAAATTCTTCTCTCTTTCTTAGCTCTTCCAGCTCAGTCTTCTCATTTATTATTTTAGAAATCCTACTGTTTTCTTTTTTTTGCACCTATAATTTTGTTGGCCCTTTTTCATAATCCTAGTGCCATCATCATAAAGTGGGTCCCTATTTTCTCATGTTTGGAGTATTTTGTTCTAAGGGGATTTGTGGATTCCTGACGTTTATAAGTTCAGCCAAGATGCTGTTGACAGATTGTGTTAACCACAAATATTGATATTTTGTAATTTTTTTTTCATCAAAAAAATAGTTTGGTACAAAATACAGTTATGCAAAAATATAGTTATTTTGGTGATATTATAATGATGGCTACATACTTCCAATTTTAAAATACCCGAATAGTTTTGTTACTCATCCTCTACTTAATTGTTTTCATCTACTCTTTAATACCTACTATGTAGACATTATATATATAACATATACAGGTAATATATAATGTCTATAAGATGGTTCTCTCTGCATATGATTCGTTGATTATTTTGTACTCTCCTTACTTAATTTTTATTATGTCAATGTTAAGCATGAGGAAATCACTCAGGATACAAAAATTATTGAATTTATGAAACTGGGCAGAAAACAATACTTTGCTCTATTTTAGAAGGATAGTTTAAATACCTGCTGAATGCCCAGCCAGTATGGCTCAGTGGTTGAGTGTCGACCCATGCACCAAGAGGTCACCAATTTGATTCTCCGTCAGGGCACATGCCCAGGTTGTGGACCCAGTCCCCAGTGAGGGGCATGCAGGAGGCGGCCAGTTGATGTTTTCTCTCATCGATGTTTCTAATTCTCCTTCTCCCTTCTGCTCTCTCTAAAAAAAAAATTGTTTTTATCCCTGGGCAGTTTGCTCAGCGGTTAGAACATCAGCCCGCACACCATTGAGTCTTGGGTTTGATTCTGGTCAAGGGCACCTCTCTTTCTCTCTCTCTCTCTCTCTCTCTCTCTCTCTCACCCCCTCCCTCCCATTCTATCTGATGATAAATGGAAAAATATCTCAGGTGAGGATTAAAAAACAATTTTTTTAGAAATAAATACCTGCTGAAATAAATTCAAAGGATCAGAGATTGTAATTGGATAGAGGGATAATAGCATGAGATGTTAAAATAATCAGCCTTTTTTGTCCTTAATCATGTCTATTTGTTAGAAAGCTACTCAAAATGTAAGTATCAAAATAGGGGCTATAGAGAGTGACTGCTTTTGAAGGTCAGAAAAAAATGGTGTCACCTCAGAAGTGCAGTGACATTGGGAGGCAGTTTTTCAGGCACAGCATTTATAACCGGTCAATGAAACAATTGTGAATTAGACAAAGGAGCAGGCAAAGCAGGGATAGAGGACATAAATATGTCCTTGGATTTGAAAATCAATTGGACTATTTTTGAAGCAGTATTGTTAAGCGGTGTTGGAGAGTTATGGATAAGTTTTTCCACACAATTCTAATATTCTATATTGAACATTTTGGGCAGTGATTTAAATATCATCAGGTTCAGAAAGAAGTGATAAGTTAAAAATGTTCCAGATCTACACTTGGGAACCCAGAGTTTAGGATCCTCAGAATAAACGAAAGCTACTGTTGGGATAAAATTGCTACTTAAAAGTGAAAAATGAAATTTAAAAAAATATGACCCAATTAAAAAAATAGGTAAAGGAGTTGAATAACCATTTCTCCAAAGATGATATACGAGTGGTGAACAATCATATGAAAAGATGCCCAATATCACTAATTATTAGGGAAGTACAAATCAAAACCATAGTGTCGTATCACCTCACACCCATTAGAATAGCTAAAATAGCCCTGGCCAATTTGGTTCAGTGGTTAGAGCATCGGCCTACAGAGCAAAGGGTCACAGGTTCAATTCCAGGTCAAGGGCATCTAACCTGGGTTACAGGTTAGATCCCCAGCCCCAGTTGGGGTCATGCAGGAGGCAATCGATGTGTTTCTCTTACACTGATGTTTCTCCTTCCCACCCCCACCTTCTACTCTATCTAAAATAAATCAATAAAAAAAATTTTTTTAATAAACTAAAATGCAGAAAATAGCCCTGGCTGGTATGGTTCAGTAGTTAGAGCATCGGCCCTTGCACCGAAGGGTCACAGGTTCAATCCTCGGCCCCAGTCAGGGTGCGTGCTGAAGGCAACCAATCAATATATCTCTCTCACATTGATATTCTCTCTCTCTCTCTTCTTTTCTCCCTCCCACTCGCTCTAAAATCAATGGAAAAATATCTTTGGGTGAGGATTAACAAAAACAAAACAAAACAAAAGACAGAAAATAGTAAGTGCTGGTGAGGACATGGAGAAATTGGAACCCTTGTGCACTGTTGGTAGGAATATAAAATGGTGCAGCCACCGTGGAAAATGGTATAACGATTCCTTGAAAAATTAAACATGGAATTGCCATATGAACCAGCAATCCTGCTTCTAGGTATGTATCCAAAAGAATCAAAAGCAGAGGTATTTGCATACTTATGTTCACAGAAGCACTATGCACAGTAGCCAAGAAGTGGGAGCAACCCACTTGTCTATTGATGGATGAATGGATAAACAAAATGTGGTATATCCATACCATGGAACATTATTCAGTCTTAAACAGAAAGGAAATTCTGACACATGCTACAATCTGGATGATCCTTGAGGGCATTATATGTGAAACAGGCCAGTCACAAAAAAAGAAGTACTGTATGATTCTACTTAAGGAAGGTATCTAAAGTAGTCCTATTCATAGAAACCAAGTAGAGTGGCAGTTGCCACTGAGGAGAAAGGGGAAAGGGGAGTTGTGTTTAGTGGGTGTGAAATTTCAGTTTTGCAAGATCTTGTAAGGTCTTGGAGCTTGGTCGCAAGCAATGTCAATGTACTTAACACTACTGAACTGCAGACTTCAAAATGGTTAAGGTGGTAAATTTTATGTTGTGTTTTTACCACAATGAAAAGAGTTAGTGATAAAACTAAAGAGCATTCTCATTTTTCAAAAAAGAGAGATGAATGAAGTTTTTTGTTTTTTTTTAATAGAGGGGTCTGGAATATAGTTTATCCAAAGTGACCAAAAGACAAAACAAGATATGATGGTCGTATGCCCATATTTAAATCTCTGGTGTGGTATTAGTCATTTTTTTTGTTTTCTTTTTTTGAGAATCTATATCTTGTATTCTATATTAGTAAGTTGGATGATCAGAGATTTTCATTCTTGGTCCCTCCCCCCACCCCCAAAAGGGTACATTTGGTAGCATAAAGCTGAAAGTTATAACAAAGGGAACTTATGCATAATTTTTAATAATGTCTCTCCTAGCCCTGGCCAGTTTTGCTCAGTGGTTAGAGCGTCGGCCCACAGACCAAGGAGTCAAGGGCACGTACCTCAGTTGCAGTTCGGTTCCCAGCCCTGGTCGGGGTTGTGCGGGAGGCAACCAATTGATGTATCTCTCTCACACTGGTGTTTCTCTCCCTCTCTCTCTCTCTCTACCCTTCCCTCCCACTCTATCTGAAAATAAATGGAAAAATATCCTGTAAGGATTTTAAAATAATAATAATTTCTCTCCTACAAAACAGTTCTAACAGGCAGGTTGTCAGGAAGCCCTACTGAGTTTTTCTCTTGTCGTTGCTGTACCGTCCTTCATGCTAATGTTGATCTGCATGATTGAATGTGTATTGCATCCAGAGCCAGGTTCTAGGTAGAAGAGTGGAGAGTGTTGAGACCTTTGATTTACCACCCTGGCCTAGAAGTGGTGCATAATGTATGTGCATTCCATCGGGAAAAATAGTCTCACCATCACATCGCATTACGAAAGAAATCGTGAACTGTTATATAGCTTGGCAGCCATGTACCTGGCCACCATTAACTTCTTTGGAAGAAGGATGAAACAGATTCTAGGGGACAGCTTGTTTGTCCAGTCTTGCATTGTAGTACTTTTTGGCAGGTATACATATATTCCTAGGTTCGAGAAAACAAATTTCAGCTTCATGTAGAGTTGAGTTTGAGCATAGGTATTCTTCCACTGGTTGGCTATGTCAGGATTGACTAGCAGTTTTTAGAGGATATACAGGGCTGATGGATTTGGTATTGCTTCTAACAAGTGGAAGGAAGCTGGGAGATTAGTGACAATTTAGACCTTAAAGCTAATGAAGATGTTAACCTTAAAAAATAAAACAGCTAGTTATTTTTACCAGCAAAAATTAGTTTATTTAGGGATAACAGAGAATTTTGGACAAGCATGCTATAGGAAAAACTATAGGCAAGTCCAGCTAACAAAGGAGAGAGGGGAACCTTAATAGAGAAAAGGGAGGAAGTTGGGAGAGGTGCTTTGATGGAAAGTCCATTAGAGGGAAGCAAGAGTTCCCAGTGGTGATAGCCTCTGGGCTGAATTGCAATGGTTCCCATTGGCTGGGGTTGTTGCTGGACAAGGAGAAAAATCTTCTTCTGCTGGGGTAGTAGAGACACTTCTTGTTGGAATGCAAGGTGCATCTCTTCGTATTGGGGTCTATAATTGACACTTCTTTCTGCTGGGGGTGTGTGAGAGACCTCCAGTGGTAATGTTTGAGAGTGTGACACCATTTTAAATGAGGTTTCTTTTATTCAGTTTCACAAAGGTCTATATTCTGAGCCTCCTCCTTCAAGCCCTGGCTATTCACAGATGTTGCCCTATAACACCCTGTCTGTTTCACCTTTTATGCTGTAGTCATCCCATTAGGTCTGGGTATCTAGACTGCCTACGTAAGTGGAGCCAGGTTACCTTTGTTCAAGTCTTATTTTCCCCATTGGTGAGCAAAGTGGTTTGGACCAGTTACCCATCTGGTGCCTCCTTTTCCTTTTCTATAAAATAGATAATGAGTGTAGTTACCTGATAGGTTGTTGTGAGGATGAAATGAGTTTATGTGTGCATCACATAGAACACTGCCTGGAAAATGCTAAGTGCTTGACATATAAGGTCTGTGCAACTGTTTCCTTTCATCACCACCACCACTCCCACTGTTATATGACCCAGCTCCAAATGAGTTCCCTTCTAATCTGTTCTAACTGTTCATCAAGTCTATTTCATCTTTTTCTCCTTCTAGAAATGAAGTTTGGTTGCAAAACCTCACAACAGGAAAATTCTGGAAAAGCTTCATTTCATAATGATATGGCAGGCAAAGTCCCCGGGGATGGTTCTTCGTGTTTCGTTTTAGAAGAACTGTGGAAGGATGCTGACCATACAGAGAGCGATCAGCAAAATCAAAATAAACTGTCACATCATAGGGCTTTCCTCAACAAGAAAAAATTGAGTACAGAGAAGGTCTGTGAATATAAGGAACCTGGGAAAATCATTCATGTGAGGCCCCACCTTGTTCCTTCACAAAAAAGACATCATAAACGTTTATTTGCAGAAAGTTTGAAGCCTAACCTAGAAGTAAATTGTCAAAATCAAAGCAATACCACAAAACCCTTTGAGATTGTTGGATCTGCTCAGCTATTCACCCGTAGCTCTTCCAGTGCTAGCTGCAAGAACATTCATACAGGAGAGAACTTCTGCAAAGGTAATCAATGTACAAAAGTCCTCAGCCATAAACACTCACTTGTACGACCTCAAATTCATTCTCAGGAGAAACCAGATAAACTTACTGAATGTGGGAGAGACTTCACCCAGAAGTCATACCTCCTCAAGCAACAGAGATTCCACAGTGTAGAAAACCTCCAGGAATGCAGCAAATGTGGAAAAGCCCTCACCTCAAAACCAAAATTTGGTGACTATCTGACTGATCACACAGGTAACGTACCTTATATATGTAAGGAATGTGGAAAAGTCTTTGTTCAGAAGTCAGAGTTGATTGCACACCAGAAAACTCACACTAGAAAGAAGCCCCATAAATGCCACGAATGTGGAAAAGACTTTTTCCAGATGCTCTCTCTCTTCAGACATCAGAGAACTCATACTAGAGAAAAACTCTACAAATGCAGTGACTGTGGGAAAGGCTTCTCCCAGAATTCGACCCTCATTATACATCAGAAAATTCATACCGGTGAGCGACAGTATGCATGCAATGAATGTGGGAAGGCCTTTACCCAGAAGTCAACACTCAGCTTACACCAGAGAATCCATTCAGGGGAGAAGTCCTATGTGTGTATCGAATGTGGGCAGGCCTTCATCCAGAAGGCACACCTAACTGTGCACCAAAGAAGTCACACAGGAGAGAAACCTTATCAGTGCCACAGCTGTGGGAAATCCTTCATTTCCAAGTCACAACTCGATATACATCATCGAATTCATACTGGGGAGAAACCTTATGAATGTAGCGACTGTGGAAAAACCTTCACCCAAAAGTCACACCTCAATATACACCGGAAAATTCATACTGGGGAAAGACACCACGTATGCAATGAATGTGGAAAAGCCTTTAACCAGAAGTCAATACTCAGCATGCATCAGAGAATTCACACCGGAGAGAAGCCTTACAAATGCAGTGAGTGTGGAAAAGCCTTCACTTCCAAGTCACAGTTCAAAGAGCATCAACGAATTCACACTGGAGAGAAACCCTATGTATGCACTGAATGTGGGAAGGCTTTCAATGGGAGGTCAAATTTCCATAAACATCAGATGACTCACACTAGAGAGAGAACTTTTGCCTGTTACGCATGTGGGAATGCCTTCATCCAGAAATCAGAGTTGATTACGCATCAGAGAACTCACGTTGGAGAGAAACCTTATGCATGTTGTGACTGTGGGAAATCCTTCAGTAAGAAACCACAACTGGAAGTACATCAGCGAATTCACACAGGAGAGAGACCTTATGTATGTTCTGAATGTGGGAAGGCCTTCAACAATCGATCAAATTTTAACAAACACCAAACGACTCATGCCAGAGACAAATCTTACAAAGGCCATTAATTCTATGAAAGGCTTCACCTAGAAATCAATACCTAGAGTACAGATTCACAAATACAGAAATGAAACAAACTCTCCGAATCTCTTGAAGAAAAAAAAAAAAATCTCGAGAGTCAGATTTAATTTACATTATAGAATTTATGCTTCAGAAAAACTCTAGGAATGCATTGCATGTCACAGTGTTACACATTATTTTATGTAAGGGAATTACTCAGAAAAGAACTTTTAAGAATGAGAGGAATTGTCCATATTTGTACTAACCTTGTTAAGGACTATAAAATTCATCTGGGGAAGAAATCCTGGCTAATGTATTGAGAAAAGTATCTCTTTAGGAAGGGATAAAAGTGCCAGCAAACTGATGATAGAACAATATTATATATGTATGTGTGTCTATGTATATTTATAAATGTATGTATATTTATATAGTCAAGTCAGTATGCACACAGTTCTATAGTGCTTGCTACATAATGCACTGCATAACAGGAGGTATGGATAGATTATATTTTTAAAGAATGTAATGTAATTGTCTATTATTCCCTATTGATATTTATATCCTGAGGTTGCACAGTAAGTATGCATCTCTTTATGTAGACACATGAATGTACATTTTTGATAGATGCATAAATGTGACTATAATGTAGTGTTTCTCTTTGTTCATGATTAGTTCAGCTCTACCCTCCCTTATCTTTCCACCTCCATCATCTGTGATGAGCCTCTTGCAGATAACCAGTGTATGGACTGGTTACGGATCCTTTGATATTTTTATACAGGCTTCTAATCATACACACCAGGAGTCAGCAAATTGGCCATCAGCTAAATCTGGTCGGCCACCTGATTTTTTAAAATAAAGTTTTATTGGAACACTTTTATATCCATTTGTTTATTGTTGTGGCTGTTTTTGTGCTCCAGCGGCAGAGTTGAGTAATTATAGCAAAGACCATATTACCTACAAGCCAAACATATACATTCTCTGGCCCTTTACAGTAGAAGTTTGCCAATATTTGTTGTCCATATACACTCATTGCTATGCTCATAATCATGTAGGAACTCTTTTCTCTGTTTTATAAATATTAAATCATGTACACGTGTGCATCTTGTTCTTTTTCACACAATACAGCTGTTAAGTGGCTGCATGGCATTCTATCAGGTGCACATACTGTAACTGATCCAACTACCCTCATATTTTTTATTCTTTTCCCCACTTTTTATTTTTTTATTTTTTCCTTCAAAAAGCATAATATCATCTTTAAGTGGACAGGCCCAGGAACCAGGTTCCTGTATTTGGTTCTACATCAGCTGGGAAAGTCATTTAACTTATCTGTCCTGGTTTTAAAGAGGAAGATTACAACGGTGCCTACCCCATGGGTGTGCATGAGAAGTAGGTGGGTGGGTGGGTGTTAAGCATTTGAAACTGCATGGAGAGAAGCATTGCTTGGTGAATCTGAGTGGACCCTGAATGAATGAATGAAAATGAAAGGATGGGGATGAGGGCTGGCAGAAGCAGCAAGTAAAATAAACTCCTTTAATAAGAAACCAGGTGCGAGAGGTGGCAGGGCTTCCCTGGGGCCCGTCTCAGGGATTCTGTTCCAGCCTCCAGACACCCCTCAGCTTGGCACTGGGGCTCCTGGGGCTGAGACACTGATGTCCACGGTGAGGTTGGTGTAGAGGGGCTGCAGTTCCTTGGAGAGCAGCCTGTAGCCCAGTGAGTTAGCGCCATCATGCTGCCACCTGTGTTGGATTGGGCCCAGGAAGCCAGGACTGGGGGGAAGCAACAGCATGTGAGCCCAGGGCTCAGGGATGACACTGGACTGACCACCCCGTTCCAACCCCAACTCACCTCTCAGGACTCTGCTTGTGGCTGGGGTCCAGCCCCTCCTCCAGCATGTGGTAGCGACCAAAGAGCAGATGAGGTCGTGAGAGGAACATCCCACTTAGTTTCAGCCTTAGAGGGGAGAGGGCAGGGAGGCCAAATGCCTGTCTCCTCTGATAGGATCTCCATGCCACAGCCCAGCCTCTCCAGCCAGGGTGGCCCATACCCCCTCAGTCCAGGGCAGCCAGTAGTCCCCACACCACGGAGGGACCTGCAGCCCCTGTGCTGGGCTCCCTAGAGCAGGGCCCCCCACCTGGCAGCGATGTCATCGTCCTCACGATCCCAGCCCCAGTAGGTATTGGGAAAGCCATTTATCCTCAGGTAGTGAACTGGGCGCAGGGCAAACACCCCACCAAGGTATCCTCGGTAGGGCAGCCTGGAGAGGCAGAGAGAGTTGGAAACAAAGAATTTCAGGTAATAGGCCCTGACCCTTTCTTGGCCAGGAGAGCTCCAAGGTTAATTTCTGGGTTAGCCCTTCTCCACTCACCCCTGTGATAACCTCTCCCCTGACTCTGGGGTAGCCCTTACCCTGACCCTTAAGATAGCCTCTCATTTGACCCTGGCATATTCACTCCCTGAATCATCTGACAGGCCCATCTTGTCATCCCATTAATGACTCCTTCCTGATACCTAGTTGGCCCCTCCTGTCACTCATTCCCATCCTCTGACCTCAGTTAATAACCTGTCTGCCTACCACTTCACTAAGTGCATCCTGACTCCCTGATTAATAACCAATTGCACCCCCACCTGACACCCACATCCAAAAGGAAGATTCTTTACTATCTATGAGGTCCTTCCCCAGGCCCCATCCTCCCCTCCCTGCCTCGACCCCAGAGATCAGTGTCTGGACCATACAGACAGACAAGGCAAGGTCTAGGGAAGAGCAGGACCTGGCCAACAGTCCCCCTCCCTCCACCTACTTGTAGTTGAACTTGTCTATGGCCACAGATACATGGGCAGGGAAGATGTCACAGATGTAGAGATTGCGGTTGTCCTCCGGGAGTAGGTTCACATCATGGAAGAAGACACAGTCCCAGTCCTCTTCTTGCATGGCCTCCCAGAACCCCACATTGCGAAGCTTGCCCCGGTTAAAGATGGTGTTGTTAACCTGGGTGGACAAAGATGCTCAGTACTGTCCTCACCAGTAGACAGTTGTGTTCTCTCACCTGCCCAGCCCATCGTTCTCACCTTTTCAACCCCTTCTTATTCCCACAGTGGAGCTGGAAAACCCACACTGGTCCAGGAAGGTGCAATTCAAAGATCACCTCCCTTGGGAAACTTTTATTGGATCCCAACCCCCCACCCCCACCCCCACCCCCATCCTAGGCAGAGTCAGTAAAGTCAGCTTCTCAGCTTTCCCTCCTCAGCCATCTTCAAGGTTCTCAAGGATCATCACCTTCAAGAGACCGTCTAAGGAAAGCAGAGGTTAGGAGTGATCAGCGACCACCTGGGTCTCTTATCTGGTTCTGTTCTGACTAGAGAGTGACTGAGTCTGATGTCCAGAAACCATGACAGGGTTTGCCTCTCTTCCTCATCTTCTTCCTCTGTCACCATCATCTTCTTTATCACCACCACTTTAATTTTTACCTCATCATTTATTATCATGATGTCCATCAACATCATCATCACCATCATTACCATTATCTTCATTACCTTCAATTTATCAAAATCACCATCGTCATCACATCCCTTGTTGAGCACCTAGTATATGTCAGGCATTGGCCTCACTGTTATATATTCATTAAGTCAATTAATTTTCCCCACAACCTGAAGGAAGGTATAGAGGGGATAAATGGTGATAGAAGGAGACTTGACTTGGAGTGGTGAACACAATACAGGATACAGATAATGTGTTGTGGAATTGTGTACCTGAAATTTTGTTAACTTGTGTCATCCCAATAAATTTAATAAAAAGAAAAAATTTTTTTCTACAACCCAATAATTCAGGTGTTACTATCATTCCTGTGTCGTGAATGAGAAAACCATGTCACAGAGCGTAAGTTCCCCAAGTATATACATAGATATTCTGAGTAACAGTGGGATTGTGGGGTGGGTGGATGGATGGATGGATGGATGGATGGATGGATGGATGGATGGGCAGATGGACAGACAAACACATGGATGGATGATAGATGATTGGTCTAACACTCAGACCACACACACAGTAATGAACAAGGCCAGGATTCAAACAAGCATCTAACTGATCTCAATCCCCTTTAATTTACCCTTTAGCTTTATTGCTTAATCTGGCCAGCCCTGGTCTCAGAGAGGCCCAGATTCAGTGAACTGAGCCTTTCCCTCAGACAGCCATTCAGGCTGATCCCAAACACAGCCAGTCAAGATCAAACCTATAGCCCTTGGTCTGATTGCCCCCAATTCAAGATCTTGACTCATGAATCCAGTCCCTCCCCTCCCCAGATATTCTCTGGCCCAGACACTCTCAGCTCAGAATGACATTTTCAGTTCTGCCTTCTTGCCCTCAATCATCCCCATTCCTGCCACACCTGATTCACCACATAGATGGCATAGTGCAGTTGCTGGCGCTGCAGAAAGGGGTGCAGATGGTAGAGCAGGTGCTGAAGGTGCTTGGCTTGCCCATAGTAAGGCACCACTACTGCTGTGTGATGCTGTGTCCAGCAGTCGGGTGGCTGGTATTGGCCTCCCAACTTCACCAATGGGTTCTTTTCCACCATCTGCTCCATTGTCAGGTTCTCTGGGATCATTACCTTCAAGGGGCCACCTAAGAGAGGGAGAGACCAGAGATTATCAGGAACCTACCCCAGAGACCCCACAATCAGTTATACTGGGTTAAATCACTCCCCACCCAAAATTTTCTGTCTACTCAGAACTTCAGAATGTGACCTTATTTGGAAATAGGGTCTTCACAGACATAATTGGTTAAAACAGTTATACTGGACTAGGGTTGGCCCTAAATCCAATGTCTGGTGTCCTTATAAGAAGGTCATGTGAAACCCCAGAGAGAAGGCAGCCATGGAGACATAAATTTAAGTGATGTGCCCACAAGCCAAGGACTGCTGAGGACTGCCAGCAACCACCAGAAGCTAGGAGAGAGGCCTAGTATGGTTTCTGCCTCAGAACTCCCAGGAGGAACCGACCCTGGCCATACCTTGATTGTGGACTTTTGCCCTCCAGAACTGTGAGAGAATAAATCTCTTGTTTTAAGCCACCCAGTTTGTGGTCCTTAATTATGGCAGCTCTGGAAACCTCTGAGCTTCCTTTGTTGGCCCTCTTGGTGTTTTCCTCCACCTCTCAATACCTCCTCCTCAGATTCTTCCCTCCTCTCTCCCCCAGCTCTCATGTTTCTCTCTTCCACCCTCAGCCAGCTCATCACCTCCTATCACTTTTCTTACCATGGACCCCAATGGTCCTAAATCTGCCTCCTGAACTCCAACCCCAACTAGCTTCCCACATGTCTCCTCTTGGATGCTTCTCAGGCTGACCCTACATCTCAGAGTACTGTCCTTCACCATTCTCCCTGTCGCTGAGAGCTCCACAGTCCACCCACTTGCCCCCCGCTGTGCCTCTACTCTTTCTATAGGGGACCATATTTTTTCCAAAGATGGTCACAAACAATCTCTCTTACCCAATGTGCCCTTCTTACAATGGGATTTTGACATTAGTTCTATTGAAAATGTATCTATGTCACCACCCCTTTAAATAGGGTATGCTTTTATGACTTTCAATTAATGGAGTAGGGCAGAAGTGATGTTACATGGCTTTTGAGGATAGATCAACAAAGGTCATATGGGTTCTGCCTTGTTTATGCAAATACTTGCTTTTGAAGCCATCAACCACCATGGAAGCTCTAGGCCACCTTGCTGTGAGGAAGCCTGAACTAGCCCATTGCAGACACATCACAGAGAGATCCTGAGATCACATGAAAAGAGGGTGGTGCTCAGTCAGCTCCCGCCACATCCAACCCCGTTGTTGAAGCTCTAGCCACTGCAACTGCATAAAAATTATGGACCACAATCGCCCAGTTGAGCCTTTCCCAACAATGCTGACCCACATAAACTTTGAGAGTTAATAAATGTTTAAAGACACTAAGTTTTGGGATGATTCATTATGATGCAGCAATAGCTAGTCAGCTCTCTCTCCATCACCCACAGCCACCAGGCCCCAGCATCTTCTTCCAGGTTCTGCCCCCTCCTCAGCAATTCCTTTCCAGCTCCCCTAAGCCCAAAGTGGGGTTGGGGGTATAGGGGACCCCACAAGCTTACTGAGGTAGGGTGAGATGATAGGGCAGTTGGGAAGATTCTCCCTACTGATGTCCACATGGTGGATCTGGCTGATGTTGGAGTACACGTCCTGCTGAGGGAGTCCTGGAGAGGAGCCCTGAACCACAAAGGGCAGCTCTTGTCCCACCTCTGTCTTGTCTTGTATCAGGAAGCGCAAGAAGGAGGTCAAGTCATGGTGGTGATGGTTTTTGTAGAGGAATGCCCCCATAAGCAGCAGCTGTAACCCCAGAAGTAATAACAGGAGCCCCCTCTGCTGCTCCATTCTAGGAAAGGAAACAGAAGGTCATCCCTCCCATTTTGCACAACTCTCACTTTTGTGCCAAGGGTCTCAGTCCCAGTCTCCTGCACCTAATCCTCCCTGACTGGCTCTTCACATTCCACAGGGGGGAGACCAGAGTGAGACACTTCCCGAGGCCACTCAAGGCCACACCATCTGTTCGAAAAACCTGCCTCGTGCATGTCTTCAGCCTCATTTCATGAGCCTGGTTCAACACTGTGGTCACACTGGAGGCCAACTGAACTGCTCCACTGGGCAAGCAACTCAATCTTTCTAAGACTTGATGTCCTTGTCTGTAAAATGGGGCTTATTGCTGGATCAGTCTTGTGCTAGGACATGCAAGGTCGGGGTATGACATGAACTCAGCATTATTCCAGGAATGGGTCAGGTTTTCTCACATCTTCAGCATTCTGCATGGAAGGGACTGGCCCTGCTCCTGCTCCTGCTCCTACTGGGTGGCCTGCCCTTTCTTGCCACAAGCGCCAATTTTCCTTGGGGCTTCCACAATCTCCCTGTACCCCACTCTGATCATCCTGGGTTGTGACTGTGTCAACCTCCCACATCAGACAAGGAGCTTGAAGGGAGCAGGGTTCAGGATTGAGTCATCACTGGGCCCCCAACATGTCCCTGCACAGGAGGCCCCAGGAAATGGATGAGGAATGACTGAGTGAATGCATCCATGCATGCAGACAGATGCAGTTCTCCATCTGACAAACTCCTATGCATCCATCAGGAGCCATCACAAGTGCTCCTCATTGTCTCCAAGTCCTTTACTCCCATCTACACTCTGTCTGGGCTCTCCCGGTCCCTGGTATCTCTGCTGTCACAGAACTGGAATGATCTGTGTCCAGGTTTCTCTCTCTCACCAACCCGGGAGCCCTGAGAGGGTAGATCTTGGGCATGACCCATCTCTGAGTCCCCAGCATCACCCATAACAAAGGCTGAGCACTCATATATTTACTTATCTATAATTACTAAGCACCACTTTGTACCAGGCATCATAATGTGAACCAAAGAAACAGCCAGAAACAAAATCAACAAAACCTCTGACCCCATGAAACTTACCTTCTGATGGAGAAGATAGACAAGAAAATCGGTAATTTCAGACAGTGATAAAAACCTATAAATGAGCCCTGGTCAGTGGGGCTCAGCAGTTAGAGTGTCGGCCTGCGGTCCAGAGAGACCCAGGTTTGGTTCCCGCTAAGAACATGTACTTTGGTTGCAGTTTGTCCCCGGCCCTGGTTGGGTCGTGCGAGTGGCAGCCACTTGATGTGTGCTTTTCACGTCGATGTTTCTCTCTCTAGATCCCTCCCACTCTATCTGAACAAAAAATGAAAAAATGTCCTCGGGTGAGGATAAAAAAACAACCTATAAATGAAGAGTAGAAGAGGAAAGGGAGTAGAGAGTAAAATGACAGGGGTGGGGCTATTTCTGCTAGGGTGGTTGGGGAGGCAACATTTAAACCAAGCCCTGGAGTACAAGGAGGAGGCAGCTGTGGGAAGTGTTCCTGGCAGAGGGAACACAGCAGGTGTAAAGGCCCTGACGTGGAAAGGAGAGAATATTGGAGAGTGGTAAGAAAAGAGGTCACAGTGGCCACAGAGCTAGATCACGAACACCCTTTTGGGTCACAGTGAGGGACATCGATAGTGATGTGATCTGATCTACATATTTAAGATTGTTCTAGGGTGGTAGTTCTCAACAGGGTAAGATTTTACACCACCTCTCACCTCCACCCCCAGAACTTCTGGCAACATCTAGACATTTTTTATTATCACAACCGATGTGTGTGTGTGAAATTTCCTGAACTTGCGAAGGTAGAAAATGTCTTTTTCAACACCAAACCAGTTTTATCTAACAAAACAGAAGTCTTCCCAGTGGGTTAGGTACACAACATTGCCTGTACAACACTGTGTATTTCTCTTCTACTCATTTTAGTTAAGGTGAAGCTTGGCTCTTGTCAGGATGTTCCATATTCAGAACCACCAAAGCCTTACAGGTTTGAGAAGCTAATTTTATTTTAATTAGTTGGAATGTTTCCAGGGACACAATTTTCAAGTTACACTGCATAAAATATCCAGGTAAAAATTAATTATCTCCATTAGAATTGGTGTGCAATATTCTCTAAAGTAATTAAAATGTATTTAATTATGTCACAAAATATTCCATTAACAGCCAATCCTCATCTCACATCACCTTATAAAATATGTTTTCTACCTCCAAATAACAACAAAAACTTAAGATGTTGAAAAATTTCAGGTGTCACCTTAAAAATGAGTGAGGTGGTCACACAGACATTTTCAAAACGGTTTTGGGATCTCCCAAGCAGTGTTTTGAGGTGGCTATACTATATACCCCCCCCACACACACACACACACACACACACACAGAGGCTTTATGTTCTAGCTAGTTTTGTAATTTATGAAAAATAATTTTAGTAACTTCTTAAATCATAAAACAGAGGCTAATGGGGAAATTAATTTATTGGATCAGAAGTGCATATATGAAATGTGTCAGTTAAGGTCCCTAGTCCTGGGGAGTGCAAGAGGGTGACTTTACTATTTGCTGAGACTTGTGATCTAGAGCAGGGCTGTCCAATATGTCATGGATGTCACTTTAAATTTTCTATTAGCCATACCTATAAAGTAAAAATAAACAAGTGCAATTAACTTTAATATTACACTTAACCCAATATATCAAAAATATTACCATTTCAACATGTAATCAAGACAAAATTAGTGAGATACATTACATGTTTTTTTCACATGAAGTCTTCTAATCCGGAATGCATTTTGCATTCATTGCACACTTCCATTCAGACTAGCTGCAGTTCAAATGCTCATTAGTCACGTGTGGCCAGTGGGCACCATACTGAAGTTATGCCCAGGATATCTGTACAGATTCCATGTGTGCTTGGAAAAAGCTGTCTTCTCAAATCACTGGATACAGGGTTCCATTTCTGTCCATTAGTTCAAGCTTGCTGGTGGGCTCATTCAAGCGTTCCACAGCTTTATGGGTACTGTCTCTTTAATTACTGAGATATATTAAAATGTCACAGTGCTTCTGGAATGTGTCGATTTCTTGCCATCCTGCCTGTTAACTTTAGTTTTATTTCTTTTGAAACTATGTTGTTAGGTGCATCCAAGTTCAGAATTGTTTTGTCATCCTGGTTATTCTCAATAGTACTTTTTTTATCCACTCAAAATCTATTTTGTTTTGTGGTTAAGGCAGCTGAACTTAAAGATTTACTTGGGTTATTTTCCTGGCAATCTTTTCCCACCCTTTTACTTTCCCACTTTCTGAATGTTTAGTTGCTACACAGGGATCTCAAGTAAATAGCACATAACATCTTTTTCTTCTTAAGTCTCTTGGTGATAGATAATTTTGCTAGTTCCTATTCTTTCCATAGCAAGTCTTATTTAAAAACATACTTAGCAATTTCCTTCAATGTGTTATGTTTTATTGTCTAATAAAAAAGGAGTCCTGACATTAATCAAACATTTGAGGAGGAAATCAACCATTTCCTCCTCAAAGCTCCCCTTTGATCTCATAGGTGAGGACAGAGGCACAAGAAGAAATCATCTGCCCAATGTCACTCAGGGGTAAGAGCCTGAATCTGTGCCCTGGCCTGTGTGTGTGTGACTTCTTTCCACTGCTAGGTTGAGGGTGTCTTGGGTGACAAAGGCGGTATAAGTCAGGGAAGACTTCCCCAAAGAGGTGGTTTTCTGGATAGGTCCTGAAAGATGAGTTGGTATTCAACCCCATGCCAAGTGGGGGAAGAGTATCCTGGGCAGAGAAATGGAGGTGCCAGAGAGCTTGGTGTGCTTAAGCAGTGGCAGTAATAGTGACTGATACCCACAGAGCACTTACTATGGCTCAAGAGGTCTAAGCATTCAACCTCAGCACGGACATTTTGAGCAGATTAGTTCTTTGCTGCAGGGGAGGTCCTATGTATTAGAGATTTAGTAACATTCCTAGCCTCTACCTACTGAATGCCAGTACCTCTCAACCCAGGAATGACAACCAAAATAATCTCTGTCAAAAGTCTTCTGTGGGGGAGGGGGTCCACTGCTCTAACCCTATGAGGAATATACTATTATTACCTCTATTTTACAGGTGAGGAAATGTAACTTGTCCAGTTACACAACTAAGATGGAAGTCCCAGGATCTGAACCAGGTGCCTGTGTCCTTAACCACCACATCCCACAGCTGGCTTTCTACCTGAGCTTTGTTTTCAGTGGGGTTAAGTAACAGGAGACAAGAGATGTAAGCTAGGAGCAGCTCAGGAAGAGCTCTGTACCAGGCCTGTGCCCACTGATGCTGGAGTGCCAGATTCAAATCTGACCAAATGCCTCATTTAAGGTGTTCCCAGCCCAAACACAGTGAAATAGACACAGGTGACAGAACCTCTGACAAAGTAAGAGACCAGATGCTGTGGGAGCCCACCGGTGGCTTGTTAATGCAGCATAGGAGAGGTGGGATCCTGCAGAATTCCTGGAGGAAGTGGCTACCTGGTTGAAAAACTGGAATCAGTGTGATGGGGGTGGAGGAAAGGGCAGGACAGTCTTCAGGAAGAGGAGGCAGCATGTGCAAACACCTGGCAGAAAAAGTTATATAGCTGGCAAATGTGGGACCAGAGGTTCAGTGGTGAAATGTCTAGAAAATTGTCAGGGGCCAGGTCACAAACAGACTGAGGAACTTGACCTTTACCCTATAATTGAGAAGCTGCAGATAGTCATCTGCCCTCTTCAGAAGCCCCTAACACCAATACACAGTCTTTTCCCCTTGAATATTAAGTTACTGTATGCAACAAATGGAATTTAAAATGTTTGCAAAGCATTCATGCAAAATCTCTGCCCAAACCGTGCTGGCTGACTGATGAAGGTGGCCACTAAGGACAAGAGGAACTGGTCCAGTTCTCAGCACTGCCAATTATTGCTACCCCAAATAAATGACACAAAGAACTAAAACACCTCCACACCCACACCCTGCCTTTCACAGCACTCACGAATTGCCAAGCACTAGTCTTAATGTTCTACATATATTAACTCATTTAGTTCTCCCAACAACTGCTATTATCATTCCCATTGAACAAATGAGGATACCAAAGCACAGAAAGGTTAAGCCACTTACTCAAGCTCCCACAACTAAGTAAGTGGGCTTAGTCACCTGGGCAGCCTGGTTTTCACATCCTGTTTTCTTCACTGATGCCCAGTTTGAGATTAACCTTCTTTTTACTAACTTCACACTCAAAGGTATGAGATTGATCTTGAGATCTGCTAACATATTTAAGAATATTGGAAAGCGGGAGACTAAAACCAACACAGAAACACCTGAATTTATAAACTTGTTTTGGGATAGAAAACCAAGGTACAGCAGAATATCACTTACGCCACGGTTCCCCAACCTTGGTACTATTATTGTTTTGGGCCAGATAACTGTTATGAGAGGATCTCCTGTGCACAGTGTTCTGTGGCATCCCTGGCTTCCATCTACCACATATGTCACACCCTTCCTCTTGCCCCCTAGTTGTGACACCAAAAATGTCCCCCGTCATTGCCCAAAATTCTGTGGGGAGAAAAATCACCCCCAACTGAGAACTGACTTAGACTATCTGCGATTGCCTGCGGTTTTGAAACTCTCACCTAGCCCAGAAAAGGAACCCCTCCCTGATTATGAGAATTAAATGAGACGAAGATAATGAAAGTTTACTGTTTGTTCAATACATACTTTCCACGTTAACTCATTTATCTTCACAAACACTCAAGTAGGTACAGTGATACCTCGGTTCTCAAACGCCTCGGTTTTCGACCAAATCGGTATTCGACCAGGAGATTCGAGAAACTTTTGTCTCGGAATCCGAACAAATATTTGGAACTCGAACTTCCGAGATGAGCCGAGTTGAGCCGAATGGCGTTCATTCGGCCCAGCGCGCCTTGCTTGCGTCATCAGTGTGAGTGCAGAGAGAGAGTCACGCTTTGTGGAGTCACGCTTTCCTATTGGGTTTCATTGCTTCGGTTCTCGAACAATTCGGTTCTCGACCGTCCTCCTGGAACGAATTATGTTCGAGAACCGAGGTATCACTGTAGTATCATTGTCACCCCCACTTCACAGATAAGAGACTTGGAGACGGTGCATGAGAAGTGCCATAGACACAGCATCTGGCACAGGTGGACTGCTCATTAAGTGCTGTTCCCCGCCCCCCACGTCCTGGTTAGCAGCACTGGTAACTTCTGGGCTCCTGCAGCCCCAGACTCAGGCACCTACACATCCCTACCTGCCCAACCAGGCCTGACACACCTGCATCTCGTAAGATGGGGCCTAGTACAAAGGAAGCCTCCGTAAAAGATTAACAAATGAATGAGTCTGTCTGATGACCAGGATTCAACCTTACAGATGCCTTCCCATCATCCATCACTCTCAATCCTCCACATCAGGGGCTTCACAGGATAACAACACACAGGAGAGGGGGCTTGGACCTGGAGAGGTCCTCCGTTTTTTGGTTTTGGGGACTCGTACCCCGGGAACCCTCCGTTTCACAGGCCTCACCTGCCCTTCATTTCCAGCTCTGCCTTCAACTCAACTAGGCAGAAGGCGTGCGCCTTGGCTACGGACCCACGCCTGCGCATAACCGCTCACCGGGCCCCGCCCCGAGCCCAGAGCACGCGTCGAGAACCACAAACCCGACCCTATGCGCCCCTCGCACGCACCCAACCGCCCCGCTGCGGGGGCGCGCGCCACGGCCCTCGCTGTGTCCCCTGGGAACCTGTCCAGCGCACGCGTTACCTGTCTCTTTCGCAGTCCACCCTTTTCTCCCCCACCCCGCACCACAAACTCTATCACACTCCCAAGAAAGCATGAAATCTGAAAAACTTCCACTCCGCCTCCGGAGTAAACGGCACAGTACGCGGCGCGCAGCGGCACACAGAAATCACGCGCCGCTCCAGCTCCTGCGCAGGCGCAGGGCGGGGCTGCCCTGGGGCACTCGAGGGCGGTGGGCGGAGCGCATGATGTCACCACGAGGTTCGCTGGGAGTTGTAGGCTTAGCTTGTCCGAGAGAAATAAGTGCTTACGGCCGAACCGCCGCAGGGACACCTGGGAGTAGTAGGCGGGCAGATCCGAAGCCTTCTGGGAGTCGTAGTCCGTTTACCCACTTCCGCGTTTTCGGGGGAAACTTCCAGCGTGGATTCTGCTCAGGTGAGTGTCCCCTCCCGTGGCGGGCCGGTCCCGGCCCTTTGTCTTGCTGCCGCGTAGGAGCTGATGGTCTCCATATTTCTCTCCCACGCATTCCGGTAGGCAACCCTGCAGAGATGGCACTCCTCCCCGTGATTCCCCAACGCCTGTCTCCCGGGGACCTGCTTTGTACTAAGCGGCCGGGTCTGTCTCCCCGTTTCCACCACTCAAGCTGGGTGCGGTGCGAGCGCAGTCTCCTTTGTCCCAGTTAACACCCAGAGTGGGCAAGGATGGCCTGCGGGGCAGTCATGGCGGCCGCTGGAGCCCAGGGGAGGCGCCAGACCCAGCCCAGGGTGCAGGAAAGACTTCAGAGCAGAGGACCTCAACTCGCCATGTCCAAAGGAAATTCCAGATTCTCTGCCTTAAACCTATCCCTCTCACAGTATTTCCCCACTCTTCCCTATCCCTCCCCTCGTCCCCACTAAATGGTCCCCCTGTCCCTAGAGTTGTTCAAGCAAAAACCCTGGAGTTGTCCCAAGCCCTCTATGTCTCTCATCCACTTCTCTCCCCTTCATATGCCTTGTGAGTCCCATCTGCTCCATCCGGAATCCGACCACTTTTCTCTGCTTGCACTTTCTCCAGTCTCCTCCGAGCCACCACTGTTGCTCACTGGGATCACTGCAGGAGCCTCCTCACTGGTCTGCCCATGCCACTCTCCGACCCCTATTCACACACAGCAGTTTGAGGGATCTTGTTAAAATATAAATCAGATCCGCCCTGGCCGGTTTGGCTCAGCGGTTAGAGCGTCAGCCTGCGGTCCTGAGAGACCCAGGTTCGGTTCCCGCTAAGGGCACGTACCTCGGTTGCAGTTTGTCCCCAGCCCTGGTGGGTCGTGCGGGTGGCAGCCGCTCGGTGTGTTCCTTTCACATCAATGTTTCTCTCTCTCTCTCTGTTCCTCTCTCTCCCTCCCACTCTACCTGAACGAAAAATGGAAAAATGTCCTCTCCTTGGGTGAGGATAAAAAAATATATATATATAAATCAGATCCTGTCACTCCACAGCTTAAAACCATCCATTGACACACACACACACACACCCCTCTCATTCAGAAAAAGTCCAAGCTTCTCATCCTGACAACCTCCAAGCCCCCGACCCTCCCCATTCATCACTTTCCAACCAAGTGAACACAGACAGGCCCCACCCTTCAGGTCCTTTGCGTTTGTTATTAACTCTATCTGGAACATTCCCATCCTGATCAAATGCCTGACTCCTTCTTGTCCTGGATTCATCTCAGATGATAATTTCTTCATATTACTTTTTTTAAAATATTTTTTTATCCTCACCCTTGGACATTTTTTGCATATATCTTCAGATACAGCGGCGGGGGGAGGCGGGGCATGAACTGGTTGCCACCCATAGGACCCCAACCAGGGCCAGGGACAAATGCAACCGAGTTATGTGCCCTTAGCAGAACCGAATCCGTGGGCCTACGCTCTAACCGCTGAGCAAATCGGCGGGGGCACTCCAGTTATTTATTTTTAGAATATCTTGGTTATTTCTTACTTATCCATTGGTTCCTTCCACTACACCTTAATGCCTACAACCTTTTCTTTTTGTTCACTGCTGAGTCCCCAGTACCTTGGATCCACTAAATTGGAATGAATGAATGAATGAATGGTTAATCTAAGATTTGAAGGTGCCTGGCCTGCACAGTGCTGAGATAAGAGTATTCCAGGCAGTAGGTCTACTCTGGGCGCTATCCAGGCAGCCTCCCCAAAGGCAATGACCCCGCAATCCAGAATCTACCTGTAACCTACCTTCCTTCTCTCCTAGTCCAGAAGCCTACCCCTCCCACCCGCCCGGACCCCGCGATGCCCGCTCCCCAGTGCGCCTCCTGCCACAAGGCCCGCGCTGCCCTCCGCCGCCCGCGCTCCGGCCAAGCGCTGTGCGGCACCTGCTTCTGCGCCGCCTTCGAGGCCGAGGTGCTGCACACGGTGGTCGCAGGCCGTTTGCTGCCGCCCGGCGCCGTGGTGGCCGTGGGTGCCTCAGGCGGCAAAGACTCCACGGTGCTGGCACACGTGCTGCGCGAGCTGGCGCCACGCCTGGGCATCTCGCTGCAACTGGTGGCGGTGGACGAGGGCATCGGCGGCTACCGGGACGCGGCCCTGGCGGCCGTGCGGCGCCAGGCTGCACGCTGGGAGCTGCCGCTCACCATCGTGGCCTACGCCGACCTCTTCGGGGGCTGGACGATGGACGCTGTGGCCCGCAGCACGGCCGGCTCCGGCCGCAGCCGCTCCTGCTGCACCTTCTGCGGAGTGCTGCGGCGTCGGGCTCTGGAGGAAGGAGCGCGCCTCGTGGGAGCCACGCACGTCGTGACGGGTGAGCGCATGCGCAGCGGCAGAAGGGCCTTTGAGAGGAACGGGCGCATGCGCAGGCGGCGGCAGGCACTGTAAGGGGGCTGAGGCGCATGCCCGTGAAGTGAAAAGGAGACCCTGGGTCTGTCCAAAGAGGAGGATCTCAGTAAGAGAAGGGCATATGCGTGCCCTCTGAAGGTTCAGGGGCATGGTATATGCGCATCCCTGAGATGGGGTAGGGCAGATGCGGCAAACTTTTGAGTCCCTGCAGTCATCTTGGTGTACACACACACACACACACACACACACACAATGGCAAATAGAGGGTTGGAGGGGTATCCTGTAGGAGCTTAGAGCCGTGGTTCTCTGCATTTTTAAATAACATTCTTTCGATTTATTCTCACACATGGAGGGGTGTCTCCCATCTGTAGTCTGAAACGCAGCTGTGTCTTTTTAACTCCTTTTCTCTTTCTGCTTCTCCTCTCTCATAACTCTTATCCCCTCCCAGCCATTTCTTCAACAAATAATTATTGACCATTTACTGTGTGCCAGATACAAGCTATGGAGCCTAGAGCAACCTAACCTCGGTTTTCCTTTTTTGTAAATTGGGGGTATTAATAATAGTTGGGTCTAGAGATACGGAGAATTCGCTGAGTTAGATACTGTGAATTAGCTGAGTTAGGTTATAACATAATTATAACCTGATACCTGCTAATAAGGAAAATTACACTTGGCGAATTTGCAACAGGAGGACCTAGTGGAGGGAGAAAGGTGGGGATTAAGAAAGCGTTTTCAGAGTGAGCCAAGACCCGAAGGCTGTGTGGGTAACCAGGTGAAGGACGAAGAGAGATCAGGAGGGGTGTTCTGAGCAAAGGAAACAGCATATGCAAAGGCCCTGAGGAGAGGGTGTAGGGTCAATTGAGAAGCCCTAAGAAGACCAGTGTTTTACTATATAGACTCGAATGTAAGATGACAAGATACAGAGTAAATAGAGATTTAGCTTAAATTGTATGGTGACTGCTGTGTATCTGCATTCCCAGCGGCACGTATGTCTACACTGCTTTTGAGAATCTCCATAAAGTGCCATTTTGGCCTTTCCTGTGCAGTCTGAAGTACACTTTAGCCCTGGCCAGTTTGGCTCAGCGGTTAGAGCGTCGGCCTGCAGTCCAGAGAGTCCTGGGTTCGGTTCCCACTAAGGGCACGTACTTCGGTTGCAGTTTGTCCCTGGCCCTGGTTGGTCGTGTGGGTGGCAGCCACTCGATGTGTCCCTTTCACGTCGATGTTTCTCTCTCTCTCTCTCTCTCTCTCTCTCTCTCTCTCTCCCTCACTCTATCTGTACAAAAATTGGAAAAATGTCCTCTGGTGAGGATAAAATAAAATTAAAAAAATGAAGTACACTTTAAACTGAGACTGAAATGATATTTGTAGCGTAAAGCACTTTCACTCTCTCTGTGAAAGGGCATCTAGCACAGGGCCTTCCTGGTCCGGTGGGTGGGTGGCAATGAGGGTACCCCAAGTTGCTCCATGGGAGCCAGTCCTCTCTCCCCTTTCTCACTGTGTCCAACTTCTGCCCCTCCCTGGTGCCCCCCGGGTCCCCATAACCAGCAGGGCCCCTCGCACCCTGTCCTGATCTGCTCCCCATTTCTCCCCCAGGCCACAACGCCGACGACATGGCGGAGACCGTGCTCATGAACTTCCTGCGGGGCGACGCGGGCCGGCTGGCCCGGGGCGGGGGCCTGGGCTCCCCGGGCGAGGGGGGTGCCCTGCCGCGCTGCCGCCCGCTGCAGCTGGCCTCGCAGAAGGAGGTGGTGCTGTACGCGCACTTCCGCCGCCTGGACTACTTCTCCGAGGAGTGTGTCTACGCGCCCGAGGCCTTCCGCGGCCATGCTCGCGACCTGCTCAAGCTGCTGGAGGCGGCGCGGCCGTCGGCGGTGCTGGACCTCGTGCACTCGGCCGAGCGCCTGGCGCTGGCCCCCGCCGCACGGCCCCCGCCCGCCGGCGCCTGCTCCCGCTGCGGGGCGCTCGCCAGCCGCGCGCTCTGCCAGGCCTGCGCCCTCCTGGACGGCCTGGACCGAGGCCGGCCCCGCCTGGCCATCGGCAAGGGCAGCCGGGGGCGGGACGAGGTGGGGCCGCCTGGAGCACCGCGGGAGCGGAAGCAGGTCGGAACCCCGGCCTCGGAGGCTGTCCCCACCTTCTAGGGACCGCAGTTGTCCGTTGGGATCTGACCTGGGGGGAGCACGGGGCGTCTGTAAATAACACTGTGAATAAACAAACCCCAGTTACCTTTGCTTTGGTGTGAGGTTGGGAGGGGAGTCAGAACCGGTTCCCTGTGACCCTGCAGAAACTCGGGCCTGAGCTGGGTCTGAGGGAAGAGGGAGCTGAACAACTTTCCGCTCCTGAGCCAGTGGGAATTAGAGGGCTGCGTGCCTCGTCCCTCTGCCAGCTCCTCAGACACTCTTAGCCCTTCCTGGGCACCTACTGTGCACAGACGAGGCGCTGAACAGAGCCACCTGACTGGATGGGCACCTGTCACTCACAGTAATCAAAGTGCTTCTCGGAGCCCTGCATGCACTGCCGGTGCCGCCCCCTCATTTCATTTGCACCATCTCAGTGGCTGTATCCTGAGCACTGCAGCTGGCCTGAGGTCACCTGGCTGGAGAGGTACAGGCACGGGGGCTGGCACTAGGGTGTGCCTGGGGCTCTTCAAGATGGGGAGATAGCCCCCCACCCCCTCACACCTGAATCCCTCCTGTGTCTCTGTGATGGGTGAGGAGCAGCTGGGTGGGCTCCCCAGACCTCAGCTTCTGGAGGCAGAGCTGTGTGAGCCTGGGTCAATGACTTCACTTCTCTGGTCTTCAGTTTCTTCCTCTGAAGATGGAATCAGATCACTGCTGTGAGGATTTGATAAAGTGCTTCCGAAATGGTGCTGACTTGGCTGTTCACATTAAGTTCGGGCCAACAAGGGGCTCTGGGTTTCAGGGTTGCTGCCTTGCAGGTCCATACAGCTGTGAGGCCCAGAAACTTCCTGCCTGACCCCTGTGGAGACTTGGTGTTTTCAGTCCCACCCCCAAGCTTTGCAGGGCTGATCCCTTATCAGGAATGCCTTCCCTTTTCCATCTTCCTGTTCAAATCCTCCAGGGTCCTCCTGGAAGCCTCCCTGATTCATCCACCCCACCCAGACCCCATCCCCTGGGTCCGGTCCTTATGTGTGGCCAACTATACTCTTGGGGTCTCGTCTTTCCTAATTGGACTGAGCTTTGAGGGCAGAGACCAAATCTCCCTCCCCACCAGCTAACCCAGCATCATTCATCCAGCATTTATTGAGCCCATAATGCATGCAGGGGGTGGTAATAAAAAAAATTTTTTTTAAAGACAGAAACTTTCCACTTGTGGGAGAGAGCAGAGAGGTACATATGTTCTGTGAGGGCTGTGAATAGGAAATGAAGGAACGTGGGGAAGGCTGTGAAAGGTGCTGTTTTAGTTTGGGAGAGCGGGGATTCCCTGAGGAGATGACTTGGGTAGAGACCAAAGTAAAGCAACGGAGGTTTCTAGCAATGATGGAGTATCTCATGTCAGAACAGTCCTTATCCCGAGACCAGAAAACACAGAGAGAGAGAGAGAGAGAGAGAGAGAGAGAGAGAGAGAGAGAGAGAGAATAGAATCTATTTTGAATACATCAAAGAGCTGTGAGGTAGTGGCCACGAGAGGCAACAGCTTCCCTGAGAACTTTCTGTGAGCTTCCCCTTTGCACTCCCATGCTGACAGTTGGACATCTTGGCTTTTGACATTCTCAGCCAGCTCTCGTGTCCACCCGCACCTGTGCTTCAGGTGAGCTGCTTCGTGATGCTGTCTCTTACCCTCCCTCTCCTTCCGGAACGTCACTTCCTGGCTCCTGTCACAGTGTGTGAGGTCTAGGTTTTCTAATAACTCCCTTCTCATAGTCCCCTCGGTGGCTGTTTCCCTGGTCGCACCCGGTCCGATGCAGCAATGACGAATTATACACACTACTTGAGACTGGGTAGCATTCTCTTCCTCCAGGTATATTCATTGTTGCCTGTAGCAGGTGGGCCACTGAAATCTGAGCAAGGATTGAGGGAATTCAAAACCTGGCTTGCCCTGGCCAGTTTGGCTCAGCGGTTAGAGCGTCGGCCTGTGGTCCGGAGAGACCCGGGTTCGGTTCCCGCTAAGGGCACGTACTTCGGTTGCAGTTTGTCCCCGGCCCTGGATGGTCATGCGGGTGGCAGCCACTCGATGTGTCCCTTCACGTCGATGTTTCTCTCTCTCTCCCTTCCTCTCTCTCCCTCCTACTCAATCTGTACAAAAAATGGAAAAATATCCTCGGGTGAGGATAAAAAAAACAAAAAACAACAAAACCTGGCTTCAATCCCTGTGGGATCTCATCTATTTCCAGTACAAGGTCCCTGGTCATGTCCTGCAGCTTTTGATCTGGTCTGTGGGGCATAGGAGGACTGTCGTATATGTTGGCCTCTTCCTTAAATCAGATGTAGACTATTCTACAGTAAACCCATAAATTTCAGGAGGAGAGAAGTTCATAGCATGAGGGTACATAAGCACTGTGTCCTGACACCATGTCCCCAGTCCTCATACCTGCAGCTTCTGCCCTGTGTTCTTCTTTAAGTTGTACCCAAATAGAGACCAAGGACCATGTCCCACAACCCTCTTACCCTACACATGCACCGCAGGGGCAGCGGCAACAGCTGGGGCTTGGAGGGGGCAAGTCCATGGCCCCTGACATCACCGGGTCAGTCACTTCTCTCCAGCTGCAGGAGCAGGGGACATCTAGGGCTCTTTCTGGGTTGGGCTTCGCTCAAAGCTCTCCTCTCTCAGGAGCTCCCCTTCTCCCCAATGGCAACTGGGGAAGTGAAGGCTGAGTTCTTCTCACCGCAGGTGTGGTGATAACCTGTCCGGATGGCCCCTTTTTATCACCACCCCTCCAGAGAATGGAGAGAGTGCGGTCTCTCTCTGCTTTTACAGAATTCTCGGCACATCTCTCAGGGAGTAGAGGGAGGGGTGGGGGCCAGGACCTGCTTGAAACTAAATCCTCTCTGTTGTGGCCCAGAGGCCAGATCTGATCACACAAGAAGCCTCAAGAAGTGATGGGTGTACTCTAGCCCCTATGGTCAGAGTTCCCTGACTGGCAGCAGTAACCTGACTCCAGCTGCAGATGTGAGTGCTGTTTGTGGGTTTCTGGTGTCATTTTCAGTTTAGAAAGCCACTGGACTTGTGTGTGGCTGTTAGCCCATTCTCAGGGTCCCCGTGAGCCCTGCACGCACACCTTCTAACTTCTAAACAGTTCTTTCAACCACAAAAGTCCTCCCCTCTGTGTGGTATCTATTGACTCTCCCTCTCCTTTCCCACCATTATTCCCCCTACCTTGCCTGTTTTGCTCTGCCCTTCATGACAACGGTCTCCATGCTGTGGTCCACTGAAGCCACAGGATAGTCTCCTCAATCTGAGTACTTACCCTTCCTGTAGAATGAATGAAAACTGAGCACTTATTTGTGTCACCTATTATTCCAAATACAACATTTCCACCTGACTTCTGATACTTCATTTCTTCATTGGAGCTGAATCAGGACTTGGCATGATGCCAGGCACAGGAAAGGCTCACAGATCGTGTTTTCTGTTGTCCAGAGTTCCGTGACAGTACAAGGGATTAAAAGCGAAAGCAAAATATCAGAGAAGAAGTGAGGGGAGAAAGGGCGGGAGTCTGACATGGGTTTTGGAGGGGTGAGGGTAGAGTCAGCCCTGAGGGCAAGGACCCCAGTGGCCTCTGAGCAATGCATTGTGTCTCCGAAGCAAAGTCTCCTTTTCCCTAGGACGAGGAGATGTTCAGGGGCAGACTGAGGAGGAGTTTGGCTGCACCTCTGACCTGTAGGACAGAAAGAATGTCACCAGCCTCATTCCCCAGCCTTATTTCCACATGAGACAGATCAAGGCTCGGCCTCCAGGGGGCGCACCATCTACCTGGGGAGCTCCTGGTCCGAAGGTTGGCGCTGTCCGTGGTTCTGGAGCACATCTGGGCTCAACTCTGCCCAGGACCCCAATTCACAAGTCCAAGGTCCCCAGCCTTAGGCCAGCAGGGCACCTAGGCCGGAGGGGCTTCAGAAAGACTGGGTTCCTCTTGGGAAGGAAAAGTCAGGAGACAGGGTGGGAGTGGGCTGGGTTCATGCTTGGGCTTTTCCTCTCACCCCTCTGGTTGCCTTATTCTTTTTTCTTTTTTTTTTTTTTTTTTTTTTTATGAATTTTTATTTATTTTTTTGTTACAGACATTTTACCTTTTAACCCCATTGGCACCCCCCACCCCACCCCCCCGTCCCCTGCTTAGTTGTCCATGTCCATTGGTCATGCATACATGCATATAAGTTCTGTGGTTTATCTCTTCCCACCCCCCAACCCCTCCCACCCCCTCTTCTGAGGGATGTCAGTCTGTGCCCTATTTCCATGTGTCTGGGTCTACTGTATTCCTCAGACTGTTATGTTCATTATATTCCGTATATAAGTGAGATCATGTGGTATTTGTCTTTTTCTGCTTGGCTTCTTTCACTTAGGATAATACTTTCCAGGTCCCTCCATGTCGTCTCAAAGGATAAGAGATCTTTCTTTCTTACCGCTGCATAGTACTCCATTGTGTATATGTACCACACCTTTTTTATCCATTCCTCTACGGGTGGACACTTGGGCTGTTTCCAGATTTTAGCTATTGTAAATAGTGCTGCTATGAACATGGGGGTACATATATTCTTCCTGATTGGTGTTTCAGGCTTCTTAGGGTATATTCCCAGCAGTGGAATCACTGGGTCAAATGGAAGTTCAATTTTTAATTTTTTGAGGTAGCACCATATTGTTTTCCATAGGGGCTGCACCAGTCTGCATTCCCACCAGCAGTGTATTAGAGTCCCCTTTTCTCCACACCCTCGCCAACACTTGTTGTTTGATGATTTGTTGATGGCGGCCATTCTGACAGGTGTGAGGTGATACCTCATTGTTGTTTTAATTTGCATCTCTCTGATGATTAGTGATGTTGAGCATTTCTTCATATGTCTCTTAGCCATTTGTATGTCCTGTTTGGAGAGGTGTCTATTCAGCTCCTCTGCCCATTTTTTAATTGGGTTCTTTGTCTTCCTTTTGTGGAGTTGTATGAGCACTCTATATATATTGGAAATTAACCCCTTATCTGATACATCATTGGCAATGATGTTCTCCCATACAGTGGGTTGCCTTTCCATTTTGATGATTGTTTCTTTTGCTGTGCAGAAGCTTTT